AATAAGATGCTGTAAGAATGTGTGTATTCCACTTTCTTTGTTTAGTAATATTAAGAATTAAGAGCTCAAGTATTTAACCTTATTTAGAAACTCCCTTGGTTTTCCCCCTGGAGTACTGGCCAGGCTCCAGGTGGAACCCAACAGGAGGATGAAATCAGATGTTTCCACTCAAAGAAAGTTGCCAGTTATTTTGGCCTGTTGCTTTAAGGGCTGGACCTGCTTGCAGCAACTTTGGATGCCTCACCTACGGATGGACGCATCACGTAGGGTTTCCAGTTTGTGAGGAAGGGCATTCTAAATTTTCGCTGTATCCAGGGTTCCCTAACCATTGCAGATCTGAGTATTAGTACTTCTATTAATTGTGCTATTCCATATTTTCCTTACTGTTTATTTTGTAGTATTTAGTCCTATCCTTTGAATATAGTTAATATGGGATGCTTTGTACTTAATAGGGTACCTTTAACAGTTTATGGCGGTGATTAGGAATAGTATTATTGATTGTAGTAAGTAGTAAGATGGCATATAGTTGTATAATGAGAAATATTAGTAAATTTATGCTTGTGCAGCCTGCACAAAAAGAAAAAGGGGGAATTGTTGGAGAACGGCTTGCAGAGACCAAGGCCATAGCTCCCTGCAGGAGCTGGTCGGCCATAGCTCCCTACAGAAGTCGGTCCCAACCACCTGAGGTAAACAAAGGAAAGAACCCAGGGTACAGTTCTGTAAACAAGGATGAAGACCCAGGGCTCAGTTGTGCTAGCGAGGATTGTTGTGAGAACACAGAGATAAATTGGGGCACATTATGACCTTGGGGGTCAAAGCAAAACAACCCTGGGAGAGAAGCAGGTTCACAGCAAGAAAGATGTTTATGCATACCAGAGATGCCACAAGGGGCTGGGATATTATAATGTGACCTTTTAGATGTACCCAATGGCTGACATACTATAATGTAGTTTCTTAAATGTATCCAATAGAGTTACAAGTAGTGTATTGTAGATTGCTTATATAAGGTGTGATTTCTCTCAATAAAGTTGAAGCTTGCTCTATCATTCACATTGAATCGGCTGCTTGCTTCCTCCGCCCGCCGCAACTGGAAGGACAGAATAACAACATTAGAGATCACATGGATCAGAGGGCTGTGTGGCACAGCCACACAGGTTATTGGAATTAAAACATTGCTATACGTGCATTATTTCAACACAAAATCAGTGTTGATG